ACTTTTGCAAATGCTGAAATGAAATTAACATGAATTATTTTTTGTAAAAGTATATCTTTCATGCATATTAAAGCTATATTTATCCTATGCATCATGACAGGGGGAGAAATCTCAAATTTGCATTTAAGATATGTCATATGCTTATTTCCGATATGTATGAACACATCAAGGTTTTGCCATCATCAAAAAGGGGGATATTGTTGACCCTAAAGGTCATTCAAAGACCATCTAATGATTTTGATGATTACAAAACATTAAAAGTGTTCTCGGACTAATGTTTATATTAAGCATGCAAAGCAAAGGAATAAAATACGCCAAGCAATTACAACCAAGCAAACAAGACAAAGATACCATTTTAAGAAAAATCAAGTTTACCTCAAGCAAAATGCAATCATGATCACCTTGAAGAAAAAGGGGTAGATAGATTGGTGAGTGATTAGGATCCTTGTCAAAGTAATTTATGAATTAGTTTGAAGCTCATATCTCTAGGCTCATGCATTTACTTCAAAAACAGTTTTCAAAATCTTGCATTTAAAAGACAAATAAAAACTTCCTTAAATCTTGTAACCGGTTAGGAAGATTCATCTAACTGAGTAGGTGAATAGACAGAACACTCAATTGATCAAATCTATCTTATAACCGGTTAGGAAACATCATCTAACTGAGTAGATGAATAAAGCAAGAAGCTCGACCTGATTTACTGCATCTTGTAACTGGTTAGAAAGTTGGTTCTAATCGAGTAGATCAACACACACAAAATGATGCATCCTTTTATGAACCTTCATAACCGATTAGGAGAATCCAAGTAACCGATTACCTTCGCTCAAACAGAATACAATTTTTCTTGGCCAATGATGTCCGGTTAGGAGAAGCTATGTAACCAATTATCTTCGTTTGAACAGAATAACACTTTTCTTGGCCAATGATGTAACCGGTTAGGAGAACCTATGTAACGGGTTATCTTTGCTTAAACAGAATGTCACTTCTCTTGGCCAATGATATAACTGGTTAGGAAGTCTTTTGTACTCGAGTAGTTGGTCTTAAATTGAAAAGGCCTTCTAGCTAATGTAACCGGTTAAGAAGGATCTTGTAACCGGTTAGTTGAGATCCAATCTCATTATCTCGAGTTCTTTAAATGAGCTGAGACAGATCTGAAACTTTAGTATTTATTGCTCCAACGGTTATATACAAATTTAATGCTCCGCAACCAACTCTAACAGTCATATTTGCAATTAATGCACTTTATCTTCCTCCTTTCTTTATATAAGGCCAAGCATTGAAGAAGGTTGGTGCGCGGTTATGAGATAATTTTGAAATACCATTCAAGAGCATTTACTCTAGCATTTACTCATTCAACCATATTAGACTTGAGCTTCATTTTAATTAATTTATTACTCTAGTCTTGTGAGCTTACATTTGTATATTTATCTTGAAAGAGATTCAATCTTGTACTTCAACTATAAACTTCTTTACAAACTTGTAAGGGTTAGTGTGACCCAAAAGAAGCCTAGAAGAAGGGTGTTCTTCTAGCAAGAAAGGGAAGCAAAGGCTTGCTTCATGTGAAGGTTTGCTCTCCACCATTAAGGAGAAGTTTTAGTGGATTGGGAAGTCTCAAGAGGGATCTTGAGCCGAGGAGTAGGAATTTCCGAACCTCGCTAAAATTTTTGAGTCATTGTTTGCAATCTCTTATCCCTATCTCTCTTACATTTTTGTTTTGTTTTATTTATCTACCATAATTGCTTATTGCATATTTGTTGATTAGAAGTTAAATTTGTAAATTTGAAAAATTGCCCATTGACTCTATTCACCTCCCCTCTAGAGTCAATTAGTGTCTAACAGGGCTTATTTAAATGGGTTTTACAAATGGGTGGTTGGTATTTGAATTTAAATTAAAAACCACTTTTTAGTTTTTTTCAAGGGTTGCACTCACCCGAAAAGGCACCTTGCTTAAAAACAACTTTTTAGTTTTTTTCAAAGGGTTGCACCCAACCGAAAAGGCACCTTGTTGCCTATAAATACCCCCATTTGGATCATTTGCAAAACACACCAATTCAGAATACTTCTTCTCATTTATGAATTATCTTCCTCCTTCTCTCTTCTTGTGGGTTCGAGCCTTAGTCTGTGGGTTCGGGTCTTAGTCTTTGGGTTCGTGTCTTAGTTTGTCATTTTGAGTCTGAGTTTAAGTCTATTTCAGAGAGAGTATTACACCGAGCCGGTTCGCCTATTCCTTCGGTTTGCAATGCTACTACCGAAGGAAGAAAAGTCGTTGTATCCCAGATAGACGCCACTGAATCCGTTAGCACTATAACGGGGCGAATTTGTCTTGAGGATATAAAATCAAATTCTAGCCTCGTCTTATATTCAGGTTCTTTTATTTTATATAGTTTTATTTTATTACATTTATATAACTATATTTTACAAGAAATTATATATATATATATATATATATATATATATATATATATATATATACACACATTATATTCTGCATATATTTAAATAAGTAATACTATAGTGTATGGTATAATTAGACCATTATTTTGGACTACACTTTTTTCTACTGTTCCTTTTTTTTTTTTTACTACTAAGGCAATTATAAAACAAACAATCCTCATATACACACAAAGGCTACAGAGGTCAAGTTCAAGGACAACGTAGGTACAAAAGCATGATAAAGGGAAAGATATATGAATCAAATAAGTTTGTAACACAAAGGGGCGGAGCCAGGAATTTGTTTCAGGGGGCGTCGTATTAAAGAAGATAAATTATATATTTTTTTAAGCGAATAGTGATGGAAGACAACAAGCCAAAAAATAGAACTGTAATAATGGTGGAATAATAGTATTTAATAATTTGAAAAATAATTATTTAAAAAAAATGGAAACATAAAATACCGACCGTAAGAGTTCTTTTAGCAACAAATTTAATTACCAAACTTTGAAGAGAAAATATATATATATATAGTTTGAATAAAGGAATGCAACTTTTTTTTTTAAGAGAATATAAAAAAGAAGAAGAAGGAGAAGAAGGAGAAGAAGAAGAAGAAGAGGAGGAGTAAGAATGAAAAGAAAGGAAAAATTAAAGATATTTTTTAAAAATAATTATTTTAGTGGGTATTTTTGTAAAATTTTATAAATTATAGGCCTATTTGCAATAAAAAATAATTGGCCCAAAGGTAATAATTCTTTCAAGGGGCATTTTTCACTTTTTTATAAATTATTGGCCAATGTGTATAAAAATTAATGGCCGTTTTCTAAAAAAAAATATTTTAAGGGGGACATTTTGAAATTTTTTATAAATCATAGGCCAATTTGCAATTAAAACTAATAGGCCAGCATGGGCCCAGGGGGCATGCATCCCCCTGGGCGTAATATTACCCTTCAAAATCCCTGCACATCTCATCTCATGCCAAATTTGGGTGGATGAAAATTTGTAAAGGCTCCTTCCTACATAACAAAGGAACTTTGTTTCTTTCCTCCTATTTTCCTTCCTTCTTAGGGAGCAGAACATAAAAGATCATTTTTAATATTCAAATATTAAATATTACTTTCAAGTGTTTACTGAAACATTAATTACACAACACGTCACATTTTTCTTCCACAAAAAGAAAAAGAAAACAAGTCACAATAAAATCATATTTGTTTTTTTTATTCTTGAGGGCCATTTTGGTCAATTAATAAGATGTTATAAAGCTAATTTAATGATTCATATGTGTCAGTCAAATGGTAAGTAAGTACTTTTATTATGGTTATGGATTGTTCATTTTATCAAAGCTGGGAGTGTCATTATCCAAAAAGTGCTTAAATTAAGACGTCGTTGTTTTTAACCCAAATTTTGGGGTTTCACTGCAATTCATCCTTAAATGACACAATTGTCCTTTCAAATTTTCTCTTATCTCTAATCTTTAATATTTTAGGTCTCTTTTGGTAAGATAAAAAAAAAAAAAAAAATTGAATAAGATTTTGTTTCCAAGAACAAAAAAAAATATTTATGCTAGAATAAATTATTTCTTTTGACCACACCCAAAAAAAAAAAAAAAAAAAAAAAAAAGTAACCATTAAAATAATTATCTCTTTTGACTGGAAAAAATATTTATTGAAGAAATTATTTCTTTTGTCAATATATATATATATATATATATATATATATATATATATATTTCTATTGAATAAATTATTTCTTTTGATAGATCATAAAATATGAAGAAAAAAAAAGTTACGTCTTTTGAGAAGACTGAAAAAAAAGTCCAACTTTGTTGAATAAATTATTTGTTTTGATTGAACCAAAAATAATTCATGAATAAATTATCTCTTTTGACTAACAAAAATAAAATTATCAATATGGAATAAATTATCTTCTTTAAGAGGATCTCCGAAAAAAAAAAAAAATATAGCACAGGGAAAAAAAAATAGTAAAGGAACTAAAAAGGTAAAAAAAAATTTAAAATTGTATAAAAGATAGTTATGATATTATAAAATAAGGCATAGTGCATTAATGAATTAAAAAACCTTCTTGTCATTTAAAAAAATAATAATAATAAATGATTTTTTTATTTTTTCGGAAGTTATAATAATAAATGGATTGTAATCAAAGAAAAGTGGGGTGAGGGCTTTTTTTTTTTTTTTTTTTTTTTTTTTTTTTTTTTGAGGTAATTACAATTTTACCGTCCTTGGTGAAGTGGACCTTTTACTTAGGGTTGACTCAATATCCCAACCCAATTCGAGTCGTAGTCTGAAGTCCCTCTGTAGTACGATCCACTGTAGTACTACGATAGTAGAGTCTCTTTAATTGGCGGACACCACTCCACATTTCAATCCACTTTAATCGCCCAAGTCTCCCCGGGTCCACCGCTTTATCCGGTCACCAAACCCCCTCCTTCCCCACCTACTTCCACTTCCTTTCCCACCGCCTCAGCCGGTTCCCGGATCCCTTACAGTGAAAAAATTATTTGAATTTTCCATACATTTTTTTATCAAAAATAGGTTACTTATAGAAAATTCACAAATTTATCTTGGCCTCCAGAACGTTACTTTCTTTTCATTTTCCCCCACTTTCTCTCTCTCTACTTTCTCTCTCTAAATTAGCAGACTTTTGTATGCAAAAATGGCTACGGAGTCTGTATCGTCTCGCCGGTCCGATTGCTCTGGTCTTCGCCGAATTTTACAGGCGTCACCAGCTCTCTGCTCTTGCTTTCGCTGATCGGTGAATGTGCGTTTTTGAGCTCCGTACAGATTCTTAGGATTTGGATGATTTTGTTGTTGAGCTTATTTACCCATTCAAAATATGGAATCTGTAAGTATATATACGTGTGTATTTGGTATTCACACACACAAACTATGTTATGTTTGTATTATGCTTCAATTTGTAGTATTTCGATGAATTCTTGATGCAATTTGACTTTTTGATTGTTCATTGATCTGTGTTTATTTATTTATTTATTTTTTCTCTTTCTTTCTCTTTCTCATTCACAAGTAAAAGTCAGTGCTTTGTTTTCGATTTTTCGGTTCAAAATGATGTGATTTTGTGTGTTTTACCAACATTCCTTTTAGAGTGATATATTAATTTTTTTTTTTTTTTTTCCTTTCTTTATATATATAATTTGAGTAGAATTAAAATAAGTTTCTCTGTAAGAATTAAAGCTGTTGACATTTTTTCTCTGTTATTGTCATGAGTTTTGGAGCTAGAGACAGGAGTTTTCATCATCTATCTTTCTTTTATATATTATGTCTATGGCTGTGCTCTGAGATTTTCTGTCAAAACGAGATTCATCAGAGACTCGATCCGAAAGAGTATTATTATTATTATTTTTTTTAAAATTAAAATTTTTTATTGCCTTTCCTTTAGTAATTTACCATGTAATGTTACTTAGTCCAGAAATGGAAAATATGGATTTCTTTTCTTGCGGGACGGTTCTGAATTTTTTTAGCTTTCCTCTTTGTAGATTGGTTTTTGCATGATATATGGGATTTTTAGGGTTGATTTTTATTTCCATTTTTGTTGATATTGTGTCTGCGATTTTTTTTTTCCGTATATAAATAATAACCCAAAATTATATATCTCATTGGTATTGCAACACCTTATCTTCCATGTCTTCTTATCCATGCTGTTCGAAGCTTTTCTTGCAATTTTTTTGGTAAGATAATTCTAGTCCCATCCATGCTTCAGTTGTTGCTCTTGGATTTTTGATTTCATATGATATATGTATATTTATATCAGTTTGTTATGAACATGTCATAATATAGATGGTATCTCTCTTTCTTTTTTCTTTTTTTTCCTTCGTTTTCATTTATTCTACTTAAAGTTTATGATATTCAGTTGTTTTTAAGATCATGATTTGAGATGTCTGTACTCTCTATTTATGTATTATTGTTTCAGTCCATTATTTGACATGGGTTTGCTTTATTTTATAAATTTTCAAACAATGATTACAGTTCATGATTACGGATTTCTGTTCTGTTTATTTTATTTTTGGGTGGAGAATTGATGCAGGAGAATAGTTGCTTGTATCTTTATTCTGCCCAATAAATAATGATTCTGTTAGATTAGAATATATAGGTGCTTGACATCCTTTTAGATTATAGTTTTCACTGGAACTCCTTTGTATATTTTCAGATTGATTTCCGGATAATTGAAGCATGTGTAGTGGTCCGGAACAGTTAACTTCTGAGACTCCTGCTCTATCTTTTTCCCCTCGAAGCTCAAGCTTGATCAAGGATATGAATAACCTGACAGGAGATGCCGAGATGGAATTTTCTTTCTCCAGTCTGCTTGAACATGCAGCTGACAATGATGTCGAGGGTTTCAAGCAATCTATTCTGCATATTGCTTCCACTATCAACGAGATGGGACTCTGGTATGGTCGTCAGAGGGGCTCAAAGCGGATGGTACTTGAGCATGCAACTCCGTTAATGGTTGCTGCTACATATGGTAGCATTGATGTTGTAAAAGTAATACTCTCTCTACCTGAGGTGGATGTAAATCGCTTCTGTGGCCAGGATCAGTGCACTGCCCTTCACTGTGCTGCTTCTAGTGGATCTGCTAATGCTGTTGATGTTATTAAGCTGCTGTTAGATGCTGGTGCAGATCCTAATTCCACTGATGCCAGCGGCAATCGCCCTTTTGATGTTATTGTTGCTCCTCGGAAGTTCCCTGACTTAAAAGATGCCCTTGAAGAGCTTCTTCAGAATAGTGGCTCTGTTCATCAACAGGACATGCAGGTTTCCTCTGATGGTGTAAAATCTAATTTTTTGCCAATCCTTTCATCATCCCCAGAAAATGATTCCTTGTCTTCTGCCTTGGATTCAACATTTTCTCCAAATCATTCTAAGCCCAATGAAATTCATGTCTCTTCTGCATCAGAGAAGAAAGAATACCCAGTTGATCCTTCCTTTCCTGACATCAAGAACAGTGTATATTCCACTGATGAGTTTCGAATGTTCTCATTTAAGATCCGACCTTGTTCCCGGGCTTATTCCCATGACTGGACTGAGTGTCCTTTTGTTCATCCGGGTGAGAATGCTCGAAGAAGAGACCCAAGAAAGTTCCATTACAGTTGTGTGCCTTGCCCGGATTTCCGAAAGGGGCAATGCAAACGCGGGGACTTGTGTGAATATGCACACGGGGTTTTTGAGTGCTGGTTACACCCAGCACAATATAGGACTCGTCTCTGCAAAGATGGGATTAGTTGCTCCCGCAGGGTCTGTTTCTTTGCCCACAAATCAGAGGAACTCCGACCGCTCTATATGTCAACTGGATCTGCTGTCCCCTCTCCACGATCAGCCACTTCTGCAATGGATATGGCTGCTGCCTTGAGCCTCTTGCCTGGCTCACCCTCAGCAGTTTCTGCCATGTCACCTTCTCCATTTACTCCACCCATGTCTCCTTCTGGCAATGCTATGACACACCTTTCAATGGCTTGGCCACAGCAAAACATTCCAAATCTGCATCTCCCGGGAAGCAATATCCAGACAAGCCGCCTGAGATCATCTTTTAATGCAAGGGACATTCCTGCTGAGGAGCTTCACATGTTACTGGATTTTGAAGTTCAGCAACAACAGCTCTCAAATGATTTGTCCTGCTTGTCACAGACACATCTCAATTCTTCCTCCACAAATATCCCTGTTCGTTCAAAAACCCTAGCCCCTTCAAATCTTGATGACCTTTTCAATGCAGAGGTCTCATCTCCTCGATTTTCTGATCAGGTTGCTGCTTCGGCTATTTTTTCTCCATCACACAAAACCATGGTTTTTAATCAATTCCAGCAGCAACAGAACATGTTATCTCCTGTCAACACAAATGTATATTCTCCCAGGAATGTGGCGCCATATGGTATTCCATCTCCAGGGAGGATGTCACCTCGAGGTATAGAGCCTCAATCCCCATTTAGCACCAGGCCATCCACCCTTTCCCATCGGGAGATGCACCATCAACAGCTACGCAGCCTCAGTTCTCGGGATCTTGGAGCCAACCTTCCGCAGGATCTCGGATCCAGTGGTGCAGGAATTATTGGTTCCCCTGTCAATTCTTTGTTGAATTGGGAGTCCCCCAATGTGAAAGTAGATTGGTCAGTCAATGGAGATGAATTGGCTCGAGTTCGTAGATCATTTTCAGTTGGGCATAGAGAGGAGGAGCCTGATCTTTCATGGGTTCAATCACTGGTGAAGGAATCACCACCTGAGATCAAAGAGATGCCCGCTATACCGGTTTCAGATGCTTCCTCATCTGGTGAGAATTCAGAATTGAACTCTCAGACAGAGAAAATTGATCATGCAGTTTTGGGTGCATGGATTGAGCAGATGCAGCTTGATCAGATAGTTGCTTAGCAAAATGAAATTATTTTACTGAGCAAGTTCGTGAAAATAAAGAACAGACTATTCATTTCTATTTTATTGGTTGGTGACATGGAAGCTAAGAAGGTAAATGGTAGGGGTGGAAGAGGAAGGACAAAGTTCAGACAGAAGGAAATTCATTTTATCTATTTATTATTATTATTAATATTTCAGAAGAAATCAAGAAAGGAGACGAGAAAGCCTCTTTGGGTCCCATCCCAGGTTAGGCATTTTTCTCCCCATAACGTGGAATTTTGTTCCCGTGATATATATATATATATATATATTTTTTCCTTACATGTAGCTCTAGGTTTGCTGTCCTATTAATTTAACTTTCAAGTTATTGATAGCATTATTTTCTTCTCAAATATATTTCTTAATTGGGGGTGGATAGGTGTTGTGTGGGAAAGGGGATATTATTTTCTTATTGCAACAGTTCTGTTGTCAATGTTGCTGGTCCCTTGACCCGTTCCTTGTGGAAGAAAAGAAAAAGTCATTCATAAAGGTGGATCAGTTGTGGGGTTGCTGATGTGTCCCATTTTGTGAATGAATTATTGTTGGGGGCAGAAAGTGACAGTTGTGGGGGCATTTGGTTCTCTCTCTGTTGATGTAACTTTGAAATGAAGTTTATTACATTATTTTTGAATAACAAACATGTCAATACCTCATTTTTCTTCTCTTGTTTGGTTGTCTTTGCACTTAAAAAACTTTTTTCTTTTTTTCCTTATCCTTGTTTCAATAAGACATGGGAATCTGTGATGAGGTGGATCCCGGTAGAGTAGGAGGGGGGATGAATGGATGGTGGGTGGGAGGGAGGTGGAAAAGATTTTATTATGTGGATTCTTTTCAATCTCTAATGAAAAGATGAGATGGGTGGGTATGGGGGAATATGTTTTCTTGAATATATGATGATGATGATGATGATGATGATGGAGATGGGGAACTTGCTTTTCAGTGATGCAGCTTTAAGGTATCATCTACTCACTCACATCTTGATGCCTACCCACTAATCTTTCTAGTTGTTGGGTCTTTGTACTAGTGGGTGATTCTTTTATTTCAAAATGTATTTTTGAGGGCCAGCTTATAATCACCAGAGGCCAAACTATTCAGACATTAGGAAAAGAGGAAAAGGAACAGGAAAAGAAACCTTCTTACCCGGTTCAGGCACAAAACCCATGGGGCACAAGGTGGGGCTGCCATGGGCGACCGCCTAAGTCGACTTGGTTTAAACATCATTTTTCAGAGGAAAAAGCTTGGGAGCTTGGAGTAGGTGCAGTACAATACTAGTGCTGTACTGCATCTCATTGTCTACAAACCTCACACGTGTGATCATTCACACATATGAGAACTGTGGAGTGTGATCGTGCACATGTTAGGATTGTGGACCTTCTGATGCAAGGTGGGCTTGCCATAGGCAACTAGTGCTGTACTGCATCTCATTGTCTACAAATCTCACACGTGTGATCATGCACTCATGTGAGAACTGTGGAGTGTGATCGGGCACATGTCAGGATTGTGGACCCTCTGATGCAAGGTGGGCCTGCAATAGGCAACCGCTTAAGTAAACTCAGTTTAAATATCATTTTTCAAAGAAAAAAGCTTAGTAGCTTGGATTAGGTGCAGTACAATACTAGTGTTGGATTGCATCTGATGGGCTACAAACCTCACACGTGTGATCATGCACACGTGAGAATTGTGGAGTGTGATTGTGCACGGGTTAGGATTGTAGACCATCTGATGCAATTATTGTGCTTAAAGGGTGGTTTCATGGGGGATGTCCTTCAATCTAGTGACTCAGATTATTATTATTTATTTTAATTTTAATTTTAATTTTTATCTCTACCTGGTTTGGTAGAAGTTTGTTAATATTTTGAAGTGTCACTCTAAGAAAATTGATGAAAACTCATAACATGAATGGGCACTGGTAGCTGCAAAACCACATTGACATTGATGTTACATGTATTGAGCTAAGAACAAATATGAAAACAACAAAAAAGTCCCTGTTTGGAAGTCAGTTTTGAAATTTAGTAGAAGAAAGACCAAGGTGCTTTCATAATACAACTTTTTATTATTGTAATTATTATTAGTGGTTGTATGGAACAATACAACTTTTTAGTCAAGCAATGAACAATAGAGCAATGTTCAAGTACATGGAATACATATGCAAAAGAAAAGGACAATGCAAAAGAATATATTTTTTCTTGTTTGTTGGCCACATCAGCAATGGGAATAAAAAAAGGAAATATTAGGTAAATCAAGGAGGGAAAAAAAACATTAATTTAGCATGTCAGTTTTATTCCTAAATTTCCTAATCCTGAGTAATTTTAAAGAATTTTTTATTTTTTATTTTTTATTTTAAAAATTAAGGGGATTTTCCGTCACCGTACAACAGAGCTTAAAGATTACATTTTAGAGGGAATATAATTAACTCTCACTTTTCAAAATAAAAGTACAAGAAATTATTATCAGAATATGAAGTCAGGGACTCATCACAGCTGTTAGAAATGTTTAGTTTATACATTTCCAAAGCTGTGTGAAAGCTTGATAAGTGCTGCATGCTGCAGTGCTGCTGCATCCATAATGATGCTTACAGGCAATACAGCAATAATTTTTGAGGGAAGTAAAGTCATTTCACTGCTCATTCATTTGTCAGAAAAACAATTATTTTATGGCCGACATAGACAGTTGTTTTTTACTCCGTATTAATGACTCCGGTTCCGAAGAGATAATTAAAATGGGACGACGGTAGTATTAATAATTCCCTATCTATCACTAGAAATCACATTAAACACTAAATATATATTTATATAATAATTTAGAGAGACGATATTTACATTTTACTTTTTAATATTTTCACTATAATTTTTTATGAAATTAGTAATTCTAATTTTAACTTTATAAATAAATAATTATTACTTTTTAAATGACACAATTGTCCTTTTATATTTCCTCTTCTTATCTCTAATCTTTAATAATTTAGGTCTCTTTTGACAACCGAAAAAAAAAAACTGAGACCAAAAAAAATTATTATATTGAATAAATGGTCTCTTTTTACCGGACTAAAAAAATAAAAATTAACTATTAAAAATTATTTCTTTTGAATAAATTATCTCTTTTGATAAGATAAACAATACATATATATTTATTTTTATTGAATAAATTATTTATTTTGACAAGACCCATAAAAAATTATAAAAAAAACAAAATTACATTTTTGATAGGATTGAAAAAAGTTAATTTTGTTGAATAAATATCTCTTTTGATTGTACAAAAAAAGCCACTATGGAATAAATTATATTGCAAAAAATAAAATTATCTGTATGGAATTAATTATTTTCTTTGAGAGAATTTTAGAAAAAATAATAATAAAGAAAGTAAAAAAAGTTAAAGCTGTATAAATGGTAGTTATGACATTAGAAATTAAGAGATGGTGCATTAATGAATTCAAAAACCTTTTTGTCATTTCCTTTTAAAAAAAAGATAAATGGGATATAATTGAAAAAAAGTGAAATGCGAATATCGTCTGTGTGTGTCTTAGTGTTTGTGGAGTATATATAGAAATAAAACATGGATAGATATGTACAGAGAGATTGATATTTTTGGAATGAGTAAATTAATAAATTATATATATATATATATATATATATATATATAATATAATAATACAATAATTTAAGAAATTATTGTCTAAAGAAACATATAAGTATACAAGGGGAAGAGAAATTTCGAGGGGGCATGTCCTATATTGCCTCGTACCTGTGTTTGATTACTCTTTCGACATAATAAGTGTGACACTCTTAATTGAACATAGGCATAAGAAGGAAAAAAAAAAAAATGTCAAATTATTTAATTTTATTATATTACTTCATTCGTTTCAATTTAAATATCGCTTATGGGGAGTAATCATTTTTAAAGGAACATATGAGACATGCATTGTCTGTCGAGAAAATTACTAACTTGCCTTTTTAAGTTTTGAATATTTAAGTTTGAAATTTTAAACTCAAAGGACATATATGTAAAGATGTGAAACACATTGTTTGAAAAAGGAAAGTGGTGGAACAGATAAAAAATAAAAGTATGATACTTATTTTGAGATGGAGGGAGTATTGTTTTAAAATGGGTAAAATGCTAATATTTACATAAATACATTATTTTACTTTAGAAAATAAAGTAAAAATATTAAATAATATAAATATTTAGCAATTTTCACCCTCTTTTTTTTTTTATTTTTTTATTTCTGAGATTTGACACATCTAATGCCTTGTACCCAATCCACGTACCCGAGTCCAGGTAAAATGACCACCAACGGCTTAGCCCAATATTCTCCCTAAAATGTTGAAGATCAAAGGTTCGGATTTTCAATGGGGCAAATTAGTGTGTGTGAATTCACTTAAAAAAAAAGAAAAAACAAACCCACATATATACATATATATGTATGTATATATATGTTCAAAAGCTATGGGACCAATTCGCATGCCATGATCACAAAATATGCCCTAAAAAGAGGATTCTGAATCACTGATAATGCATCATTAATGCACATTTGGAACTAGGAAACAAAACAAGCTTCAAATATAAGCACAAGGGAATACTTCTTAAGAAGACTGCAATATACGCAAATATGCTCCATTTACTTGTTAAATAGACAAGGATGTTACCAGAAGCAAAAAAACAGAAAACATTATACTTTATCTTGATATATATATATATATATATATATTTTATGCAAATCAAACAAGCCTAAAAAGAAAAAGATCATAATTAAGCTTGAGTAAGAAGACAAGAGAAGGAATAAACCATAGTTAACTGTGATGAAGGTGGGAGACAGAGACTGTCAAGTGAAAGATAACAACTGATAAGAAGTTTCTTTTGGATTTAAATAACCACCATTTTCAAACATATAGGTATAGATTAGGGTAAAGTACATAATAAAAAAAAAAAAAAAACGGAGAAAACCCCTCAAATTTGTAAATAATATCACAGAAGTATATTTTTTGCGCATCAAACTCTCTTCACTAGCACATTTAGTTACAAATGCACCATTGTCGTTTGCGCATAAAACTCTCTTCACTATCACATTTAGTTACAAATGCCCCAATGCCGTGACTATTTTTCATTAAATGATCATAGTACTCTTTCTTATTGAATTACACTAGATCTATTTTTCTTGTTGAAATAAATAATGAAAAAAATTTATTTTAATTTGATTAAATATTCTTCATTAAATTTGCATAATTTTGCCTTTAATTTTAAAATTAATTATTTAAATAAAAATCTTAAGTAGAAAAATAGAAATAATTTAAGTAATTTCTTAATTTTTTATGATAATATTGCATAAAAAATAAGATATTTTTTATTTACATAATTTATTAAAATTTTCATTAATGTTGTATGAAAAAGAATGTATTTTTTTTTTTTTTTACTAATTTTTTGTAAAGTGAGTATAATAAGTTTTATTATAATAAGTTAATCTTTTTAGAAAATGGTAACTACTAATCTATTTATTATTTTCAATTTTATGAAATGTTTTTTTACTAAATTTTTGTAAAGTGAGTATAATAAGTTAATCATTTTAGAAAATGGTAACTACTAATCTATTTATTATTTTATATTTTATGATAAATTGATACTAATTATAAAATTAAGGTAAATGTTATAAATAATTTTTGAATAAGAGAAAATATAATAAAAAATAATTTAATAAGAAATGACAATTTTAATAAGAAATAGTAAAATAATTTTTTGTGATGAGTTTATTTTTAATTACAATAAATTAATAATTTAGGGAGATAATTTTTAATTCAGAAAAGTGATATACAAAAGAGTAATAGTTCAGGAGTTTTTTTATTTTTTATTTTATTTTTCCGTATAAATTACTCACTGCTGAAGAGTAAACTACTAAACTATGTTGCTTCTAGAGTCATCAATGAATGGATCAAGCATTAGCCAATATTTAATTACTTAAATTTCAAAGCAATTGCAAGAATAAAATAGAACTATTTTTTCTTCATCAGACCATGAAATCATGGATGACATAGTTTTTGATTGTTAGTTTACATAATTTCCCATCTCATGCTCTGACAAGGTCTTCAGAAAAATAAAATATTGACAATGATGCATGATTTGGATTTTTTAATCCTTTTGAGTGTACTAAAGATTGATTTCAAACCGACCAAGGTAACATCAATCAAATTATTTAGTCTACTCATAATAATGTCTTGAAGAAAAATATTTTTAACTGTCATGCATGAATTTTTTTATCTTGAAAAAAAAAAAATAAAAAAAAAAAAAATAAATAAACAGACATACGTCTGATTTTTATGACTAGACTTGGAAATAGTCAGGGCAGGCTTTATTTAATTATTTGAAGCCAAGAATTCGTCCAACACTTCATGTAGGTGTTCATAATTTAAAATAAAATTTATTATTTTGTACATACTCTATGACACTTCCTGACTAACACTTGGGCGATAGTTTTCAACACTTAGCCGGACTCATCCCCCCAAGTCATACATCACAAATACATCTTGAGAAGCCAGGTGATCTTATGAATAATATGAACACGGTTTAAAGTGTCCAACTTTCCCTTTAACAAAGTTTAAAGTGTCCAACTTTCCCTTTAAGATCACATTGTCATAAGTGAATCATATAATGATACTTGTTGTATAGAATAAAAACATAATCGTAATGATAAAGTAGTGTAATAGTAACCCATACGATATAACAAAAATTGCAATAATTGCATAACTGCACCGACTGGAGTATGTTGGACTAACTCTTAGGATATAGATATTAGTTTTATGTCAATTTTTTTTTAGAATCTAACGTGTCGACGTATCCATATCCTATGCATGCACATATATATATTTCAGAGAAATGCCTGCGTTGCCATATAACAAGCCCAAAACTGCCCAGATAACCCCTTGTAGAAAAGCCCCACCTTGTCACTAAGCTAAAATTGTAGGAAATATATACTTAAAAAAGGAAATAACTTCTCATTTACAAACATTATATTGAAAATAAGTTAAAATTTTATTTCGTCAATAGTGGTTCGTTGAAACCTGCATGTGTTTGTTGCATTTTCCCAAATGTTTCTTTCCCTATCAGTATTAGATATCATGCACTTTTTACAAAGTTTGCCTAAACTCTTCACAATGGCAAATATTGATCTTATGTAAACAAGGGTAATTATTGAATTGTATATGCATTGAACAAGCCAATAAATCTCATCAAGAACACATGAATGAGTTCATACCTGGTGTCAGAGCCATTGCACCACCATGCCCAGATTGCCTATTGTATATATCTTGCTGCTACAAGGGGTCATTTGTCTCACATTGGATCCGGATGAGAAAGTGATTAGATATTAATGGGTGAGAATACAGTATTATCCAACAACTTACACTTTTGGGTAAATGGACAAACGCCCACCTATTACAGTTGGTATCAGAGCCAGATACAATCTTTGATCTGGTGTCATGCCAAGCGCCCGCCCCGAAAGGCGTCCGGGTGAGCCACCCCGGGTAGGCATGGTGGCCCGACCGCAACGAGGGCGTTACGAGTTCGGGTGAGGGAGAATGTTACGAGGAGTCATTTGTCCCACATCGGATCCAGATGAAAAAGTGATTGGGTATAAATGGGTGGGTATGCAGTATTACCTAACAACTTGAGCTTTTGTATAAATAGGCAATCGCCTACCCGTTACACTTGCCATATACCAAAGGTAGCATAGCCTAATGGTACTTCCTCTCCTTCCAAAGGAGAAGGTCGAGGGTTCAAGTTTAGCATAGCCTAATGGTACTTCCTCGCCTTTCAAAAGAGAAGGCCTAGGGTTCAAAATCCCATAGGGGCATTGTGGATGTATATTTCCTCGCCTTCTAAAAGAGAAGGTCGAGGGTTCAACTTTTCATAGGGACATTGCGGATGTATGAGTCTGTTTAAGAAGTTATTTGACCAAGCATTTGATCACTTTGAAGTTCTGTGCTGTGACTTCAACTAAAAACAATTATTTTATCACATGTATATAGAGATTTTTTTTATTTATTATTGGAGTCATCAGCAAATACCACCCAAGTTCTTCTTCCTTCCATTGGATGGTTGAAATTTCCGTTACCAATAGAACAAATGTGTGTGTGAATTCAACCAAAAGAAATCACATATATATATATATAGAGAGAGAGAGAGAGAGAGAGAGAGACATACACATACATGTATATTCAAAAGCGATCCCATGGGCATGGGATCACAAAATATATCCTAAAAAGAAGATACTGATAATGCACATTTGGGACTAAGCCACAAAACAAGTTTCAAAATATAAGCAGAAGGGAATACTTCTTAAGAAGACTGCAATGTAGACAAATAGGCACCATTTACTTGTTAAATAGAAAAGGATGTGTCACAAGAAGCATAAAACAGAAAACATTATACTTTAATATTCACACATTTATTTTCTATTTTATGGAAACCAAACAAGCCTAAAAAGAAAAGATCATTATTAAGCTTGAGTAAGACATGTGAAAGAAGAAGCCATAGTTAACTGTGTTAAAGGTGGGAGACAGAGACTGTCAAATGAAAGATAGCAACTGATGAGAAGTTTGTTTTGCATTTATATAACAACCATTTTCAAACATATAGGTATAAATTACTCACTGTTGACGAGTAAACTACTAAACAATCTTTGGATTGTGAATCTACATAATTTCCCATCTTATGCTTTGACTAGGTCTTCAGAAAATATAATAATGACAATGATACATGATTTGTTATCATTTGGATTTTTTTTAGCCTTGAGTCTACTAAAGCTTGATTTCAAACCGACCAAGGTTACATCTATTAGATAATTTTGTCCACACATAATAATGAATTCAAGAATAATATTTGAACTGTCATGCATGAAATTGTATCTTGACAGCAAATTTCCACAAAAAATATTTGTTCCCCCTTTATGACTAGACTTGGAAATACTTAGGGTAGGTTTGATTCAATTATCTGAAAAACAAAAATTCTGGAAATGAAATACAACTTCAGAAATCTTTTTGACTCGCTTTCAAAGAACATTTTTTAAAAAATTGTTAACCAAATTTTTTTTTTTTTTTTTTGGAGAATCTCTCTTTCTCCAATCTTCATACACAAGCACAAATGTGCATGTTTGCCCTATGCAGCTTCAGATAAATGCTTGAGTTGCAATTTAAACAGCCCAAAACTTCCCATATAACTACGTAGCAGAAAAGTCCAACCTTTTCACTAACCTGTAATTGTAGGAATAAATAAATTTATTTATTTATTTTATTTATTTATTTTTTTCAAAAAGAAAAAGAAAAAACTTCTTATTCCAACTGCCAACATCATATTGAAAACAAGTTACAATTTTATTCAGTCAAAGTGGTGTGTTCAAACCTGTATGTGTGCGTGCGTCTTCCCAAACGTTTCTTCTTTATTTATTTGAAATCATGCATTTTTTATAAAGTTTGCCTGAAAATGACAAATTGACCAATAGGTCCATTCTTCATAATGGCGATATTGATCTTACATAAACAAGGGTAATACTTGAATTGTATATGCACTGCACAAGCCAATGAATCTCATCAAGAACGGATGAATGAGTTCGTACCTAGTGTTGAAACCATTGCACCACCATGTCCAGATTGCCAATTGTCTCTTGCCATATTAGAAGTTGTTTGACCAAACACGCGACCACACTTGAAACAAACGGGACTATGTGCACAGTGAAATTTGCAGCCTAAGAACCACATTCATAAAAAAGAAACAACTGGAGTGAACAGAGATCACAGAAATTTATAGCCAATTATCTGAAAGAAAAAGAAGAGAAGTTTAGTGTTTTAGGCCCAAAAAATTCCTTCACAACTCAAATTTGAAGCATAGTGAAACTAGTTGTGCCTCCCAGAAAATCCTGCAAGAGTTCAAGTTGGCATCAGATAATTGTAAAAATGATGCAACATTCACAAGAAGAGCCATATTGTTCAACTAAATTTAAACCAATTTCCATTATAAAGAACCAAAAAGCAAATGAAAAAAATAAAATAAAAAGAGGGACAAAAGAAGGAAAGAAAGGAAGAAATATAGCAGAGATCACAGACGGTAAATATAGCAAATAAGTAGCAGATACAGCAAGAGAGAGGAACGAAGAACTACAACTCTGGAAACAGAACTCAAGTCTCGATTTATTATAAAAGTGATTGCTCTGATTTCTATCATAAGTTCTCTGTATAAATTTAAACAAATCTCAAATTCAAATATATAAACCTATTACTAGGAAAAAAATATTAATATCACTCAATTCTAATGTTAAAATGCATCTAACTGCATGAAATTTGAAGAGCCATCTAGAATGAAATAAGAATAGCAGCAGCTTTTTGCAGATTGGATTCCCAGATTATTGTGCCAGGGGAAATTTGGAATCATGGAACTGTTCATGATAATATTTTGCGAATTTGAATGGTACTGAAAATTTAGACAAGAAGGTCGTAAACAATTTTATGTATTAAAAAAAAAAAAACAAACTTGAAGATTACATTTCAGGGGGAAAATCCATGCATGTTATTGGAGAAGGAAACAAATTACTATTCTGAAATTATTTTGTAATACTTCTGTGGGTAAATGACGCACATGTCAGTATCAGGTGCATACTTCATACTGATACGTGGTATTGATGTGAGAGTCTCAACGGCATTGTGTTATTCCCACCTTGTGGCATATTTTTTAGGCCTCAATGGTGATGTTAATGGTGAAGGTATTGTAAAAGAGGAGTCACCTTGATGCTTCTTGTTCTCATCTCATGAAACCTTGTTCATTCCCATGTCAGTTACTTGTCCATATCAAAATGACTAATGTCTTAACTTATTGGATTTGCCTAATGATAATCTCGACATGGTTGTTTTTTACCTCGTCTTTGGAACTGCTCATGCAAGGTGAGTATTACTTCTGCTTTTACTTCAATTCATGGACTTTTGTTCTCCAATGGGACTCAATTGTATACTGCCCTGACTGCAATCCCCAACCTTCTCATTTATGCAAGTCTGACTGCAGTTTCTCAGAAGGCATTTGTGATCTTAAACGGGGACCAAGCTTTTCTGACACACATCTATTTGCGAGGACATGGTCACTATTGTTAATCCTCACAGCCGGTACTTAAATTACGAGGACCTACTCAATATGGATAAACCTCGTTATCTTTTTCACTGACATCTTTGAAGATTTAAGAATACCAACATCCGGATACACCTTATGCACTATCTGAGTTGGTACCAGCACTAAGGGGCGTCTATTGCTTGTGAGCAGCTATCGTCATAGCCCACCTTGAGGTATGCGGATATGGCATAACCTGCTGTTGTGCAGATACCGTCATAGCCCACTTTGAGTTACAAGGACATGGCACGGTCCACTGGGTTTCCACGGATATTTGCTCGGTGGATGAAGTCTAGAATTCATTAAGGTAACCTCACTTCGAGGTCTACACTGTACACACATCTCGACTTGGTTGTAACGGAGAGAGATATTACTCCTAGATGATGTAATTCTTTATGACATGGCAATTCTACGATAAACTACGTCAGCCATATATGACCATATATTGTCCAAGGAACTGCTCCGACATGTAAGAAATTCCATTGGACTGCAATGAAGAAGCTGGTCACACAACATCCATCTGTAGCCAAAGTTTTCTTTACTTATAGCGCATAATGCCACCCATAACACGTCTCAATTAGATAGCCTAACGCATCTGCAGGCATCTCATAGTCCATGGTAGAGGTACATACTATGACCTGGCAAGACTGCCATGCTATCTAACTATAAATAGACCCTTACCTCAGAAGACTAGCCAAGAATTTACTCATTCGTGAACCTAGGACAAACTACACATTGTCCTTTTATTTGAGGGTAGCATGCCTCATTCGTCTCATCCTTAACTTCACCTATATCAAAGGCTTTGACCCTGAGGAGTCTCTAGTGACTTTGCCCGCCCTATTCCCTCCAATGAGTTAGCCTTGTCTTCTTAGTCTAGTCAACTTAATTTCTCTCCTTATGTGTAATATCTTCATTTCGTCTGATCATCTACAAGAACCCACAACTTCAACATCCAATAAATAACTTGCAAAAATTTGACATCTTAGATGTAATCAAACATGAAAAAACGTAGTGTGCAGATGATTACTGGAAACTAAAGTATGATTCAACAATCTTTAAAAACTTTGAAGAATTTGTTGCAGTGGGGGTATATACTTCTTATAATGTGTGCTTACAGTAGTTAATAAGTATTCCAGTTCAGAGCTGGTGACTTCAAAAGTGTTCCAGGATGATTGTTGGACTCTCTCTTCCAGTGTTCCCATATTGATATTCAATGGTCATTCCACACTTTGCAAATTTTTTCCTCATCCGGAAGCATACCAATAAATATCGACCCTCCAAACACTGGAATTTTCTGAGCTTTTCCTTAGGCCTCACCAATAATCCTTGCATGAGCAGACACCATTAATAAAATGATGGTAACGGCTTCTGTCCCTGATCACTATTTCCCTCCCAGAAAATTTAGAGACACATTTACTAAATTCATGGCAGTCGCCGCAAACCCTTAGGTTCTTGGTGATCAAGATTGGGTTCCCACCACTAACGCTGATCAGTCCAAATGCAATAGCAAGCTTCTCACTGTGGCTGAAGAGCCTCTTAATTTTCTTATCATCCTCTTCATCATGAAGAACACAATGAAGATCGGGAACATATCCAGTTTTTTTAATTGAAGGCAACAATGAACTTAATTTTGCATAAATTTTGTCCGATTGAGGGTGTGATTTATCTCCAGCAGTAAAACAGTGAACCTCATTTTTGACAATCATCCAACTTCTTCCTGCAGGCTTTTTCAAACCCTTCTCTTCAAGCAGGATTCTTAATTTTCTGACCTCAGACCAAAGACCTGCTGCAGCGTAGATATTAGACAACAAAACATAATTTCCTGCATTTGTTGGTTCTAATTCAATGAGCTTTTCAAAGATGCCTTTAGCTAGTTTAGTTTCAGAGAAAACTCGGCAAGCACCGAGCAATGCTCTCCAAACTGATACATCTGGTTCAATGGGCATCGAATTAATGAACTTCCTGGCTTCATCAATGCACCCTCCACGCCCCAGAAGATCAACAACACAAGAATAGTGCACAAGTTCAGGGGCTATGGAAAAATCCTGAACCATGGAGTGGAAAAGCTGCAGGCCCTCCTGTATCAAACCAGAATGGCTGCAAGCTGATAAAGCAGACACAAAAGTTATTCCATTTGGTTTGAAACCACCTTCTAACATTTGTGAGAAGGCAATCATAGCATCAAAACCACGTCCATGCATACCATAGCCAGCAATCATGGCATTCCATGTGACAATATTTTTCCTTGGTAACGTTTTGAAGATCTTTTCCGCGTATTGCATACTACCACATCTTGCATACATAGTTATAAAGGCATTTGCAAGAGACAAATCAAAACCCCATGAGGATTCCCTCCGTATGGTGTAAGCATGTAAGCATCGGCCCTGAGGAAGATTGGCTAGATGAGTACATGATGAGAGAAGATTTATGATTGTAGTGGAGTTGGGTTCTACTTCTGATATCATACAGCGAAAAAGTAACATGGCTTTGTGGGATTGACTGTTTTTAATATAACTAGTGATCAGAGCATTCCATGAAATCAAATCCCTGTCAGTACAACTCTCAAATAAATTCACAGCTGTTGCTTCATCTTTGCAGTTCATATACATCTCTGTGAGAGCGGTGTTCAGTGACGGTTTGATTTCAATTCCATGTTTTATCAAATAACCATGGATGGACCTGCCAATATTAAGAAAAGTTTCATTTTCACAAACTGCAAGAATAGAAATTATTGTATAAGCGTTAGGTTTGGTATCTGACTCTTGCATCTGCCGAAAGAGTTCCCATGCTTGACCTTTTAATTTGCTATGCGCCAATGCCAATATCAAAGTGTTCCATGAGATAGCATCCGGATCTCTGATCTCATTATAAACCTTTAAGGAATCTTCAACACAATTAAGCTGTGTGTACAAATTTAATAATGAATTTCCAACAGATGTGATCCTCTCCATCCCACTTTTAATTACAAGAGCGTGTAAGCTTTCACCATTTCTCAAACCATCAGCTGAGTCAGCACATAAAGACAATAAAATAAGAATAGTTCTTTCATTTTCTTGAGTGCCTTCCAATCGCATTCTGGTAAACAAACTCATTGCTTCCTCATGTGAGCCAATTTCAACAAAGACAGATATCATAGAATTCCACAAAGCAACATCTCTGGTAGGGATGGATTCAAATAGATCAAGTGCAGATTCTAAACTTCCGTTCTTCCCATACATATTCACCAACGAATTTGCTATGTATAGATCTTTGTGAAAATCAAATTTGATTACCAGTTGATGAACTTGCATGCCCAATTTAAGAAATCCAAGTTCTGTACAAGCCTGTATAACAACCAACATTGTAATGGAATCAAATTTAACTCCGTCCATGATCATCTGCCGAAAAAGCTTTAAAGTTTTCAAGGAATCACCCTCATCAAAATACCCAGAAACCATTGCATTCCAACTCACAGTGTTCCTCAAACCCATCATTTCAAACACAAGACTAGAAGTCCTCACATCAAACCTCATATAGAATCCAATCAAAGCAGTACCCACATGGGGATTCGAATCAAATAATCCATTCCTCAAACAAAATCCATGTATCTCTTTCCCAAGCCCCATTTCCAATAGCTCCCCACATGCTGAAAGCAGTGTCACCGCAGTAACCGAGTTTGGTTTCAACTTCTCCTGCTGCATTTTAAAAAATAACCCTATTGCCTCTTCGTAGAGAGAGCAACCCACATACCCAGATATCATAGCATTCCATGAAACAACATCTCTCTCGTTCATTTCATCGAACAGATAACGGGCAATTTCGTGAAACCCACATTTGCAGTAAAAATCAACAAGAGCAGTCCGAACTCGAACATCATTGATCAAATCCGTATTGCAAATATCGTTATGTATTCTCTTTCCTTTCTCGATGGCTTGTAGCCGTCCACACGCCTTGAGGACGAGAGGCAAAACGGAATTATCAGGTGAAATGCCCAAAGCTTCCATTTGGGTATGTGTATTGAGGATTGCATGATCATCTTTCAGTTTTGTATGGTGTTTGATGATTGAATTCCAGTGTTTTGAGTCTTTGTTTAGGCTTTGTCTGGGTAAGAGTGGAAGGTTTTGGAGGTTTAAGGACACAGGTACCTCCATTGAGAGGTCGTTCAAATTTGGCGGTAATTAACTGAAGATGAGATATGGTCTGAGTGACAGTCACTTTTTTTCCTCCTCTTCTTTTATTTGTACCAGCTGTGGTGCACTGATAGGCAGGATAGACCCGGAAACTATTATTTGGAAGGGGCCAAAATAGTAATTTTAAAATAAAACTTAGACATTTTTTTTTTGGCCACAGAAGCTTTTCAGAATGGGGAGGGATGACTTATTTTTATGAGTAAATGTTGATATAATCATAATATTAATAATATTCTTGATGTCATGACGTTAATTTATACTCATGTTAGAACTCTTTGCAAAACGATACGTCATTTTGATTCCCCTTCTTTTATTCACGACCGCAAAGATATAACAAAATTTGCTGCTCCAATTGGATTGGATCATTTGAAGATGGTTTACAATACCATCGATCACATATTTGAGCACGACCCTAAAACACTCACTCCATGCAATGGTTGGTGTTTGTACGAGTGTTCTCAAAACGGCTTAAATTGACTGATTGGCTGAATTTTTTTTGGGGAATTCAAGCAATGCATTGAGATTATGAGAATAAACAAGTATTTTTTTAGGGAGTTAAGGCCGAAAGAGAAGCCCACCAAAATTTCCTGGGAAACAAGTCCAAAGCCCAAAAAAGCAAGAAATAATCTAGGCCATCACTAGGAATAAATCCTAGCCCGACAGGGTAAACGAAATGTGTCATGGCCCAAGCCCAACAGAAGGAAACATTATCTAATTCCGAGCAGGTATATCGTGTTCGAGTCTCCCTCCCTTTACTTTGCCAAGAAATATATATATATATATATATACATATATATATGCAGCCCATGCTTGCAAGTTGTGTCTTGATTTCAATCACCTTCTCCCTTGCTTGGGATAGATTTGCTATTTATTCAAATAACAATCACAGACATATGTTGGTGGTTTACAACACCAATCCACTTCAATGATCCTTTGCCTTTCTTTTGAGTGCAAGCAAACACTGTACCAGCGTTTGGGGGATAATCTTGAAGGTGGAGGCCAACAAGACAGCTTATCCAAACAAGGAACAATTAAATTGATCTTGAAAGTAGACAAGAAACAAGTTGATCTCAAAAATTGGAACTACTTATAACTATATCACATTTAAATAAAAAAAGCAAAAACAAAATAGCTTTGGGAGTGCTGTATTGCTAACAGAGATTAATTCCATTTGGGATAGGATTGTGGAACGCTACACTGTCTTCCTCCTATTCTATCTTTTGAAATGGTATTCTTACAAAGTTTACATAATTTCATCAGCCTCTAAGTTAAAAATTTGGTTGATTTACATGAGAGTACTCTCTAAGGGCTCGAACACAGGCATACTTGCTCAGGAGTTAGACTCTCTATCATTTAAGATTACTTAGGAATGTTCATTTAATGTAATTAAATTACAAAATGTATGGACAATACTTACTTACTCAGTGAGTAGGTCATCCTTACTAACCACCGATATGGTCCAATCACAAATGCACACATAATCTGCAATTACAAAATCTAGAAAGTAATATATACTCACTGAGTAGATAAGTATTATCCAATACTTTTTGTAATTTAATTACATTTAATGGACATTCCTAAGTGGCGTAATTGGTAGAGGGAAAACTACACTTGCATAGAGTTAGGGCCCTTAAATAACAAACTAATTTATTTTAAAAGTTTATTTTTCACTTTGGTTGAATTAAGTAAAATAATTACATATGCATCAATAACTACTGTTTAGGTCGAAATTCAAAAATGCCCTCCAAACACTTATTCATAAATACTAAAAATTATTCTCCTAAAATCAAATATGTTCTTTAAATAATTTCTTTCCTTTAACTTTGAAACATGTTGTTGCAACTTTCATATATACACATGATAACTTATACAAGCAATAAAACAAGATTCAATATAGTAAAATATGGAGCAATCAAATGTTAGTCCCCAAAAAGAAAAATATAATTAAACTCAAGAATATATAAATTGTCTTTGCTGTGGTGCATGCCTTGAGATGATCATCAATTTTTTGGCTCAATTAATTACACTTGTTTTATAAATAATAATAAAAAGATTATTTGTGTACCATTTACTAAAGCACCATTTAGTTTTTTCATAATCCCCCTCTCTCGTGCGTATGTACTGTATGTGTGTGTGTGTGTGTGTATATATATATATATATATATATATATATTTATAAGAAATTTTTCACATTTGCAGGTTTATATTGGTATGAATTAGGAGACATGGTCAAAGTTATGTGTAAATAAAAAAAATTCTATACATAATTAATTTTCATTAAAATATTTGTATATTTCTAAATTAATATTTGCTGGTTTGAACCGATATGGATTAGGAGATTTCGTTAAAAATTTTGTACAAAATTTATAATATATATATATATATATATATATATATATATATATATATATGTTGTTTTTTCTTTTATTTATTTTGGTAATACATACACCAATGCCAAGTCTAAACTCAACTTAGAAATCTTGTTTTTCTAAATTTTATGAATGAAAGAATGATTTGATGTATATGTAATTATTTTACCTAACTCGACCAAAATGAAAAATTAACTTTAATAATAGACTGATTTGTTATTTAAGGCTCCTAAATCTACTTAAGTGTAGTTTTACCAAGATAAAAATATTTTGAGCCCGCCATTACATTTCTTTGTTGGTTGAGGTTTAATAATAGAAGAAAATAAAATTTTAGGTAAGTTATAATATATAAAGAAACAAAATTTTTGGGACCCTCTAGGAAAAGAAGGTTAAAAATGATAGAAATTCTTTTAGGTCCACTATCAAATCTTTTTATTCGTTGAGGTTTAATAATTGAAGACAATATTTTTTTTTAGAAAAGTTATAATATATAAAGAAATGAAAATTTTTGGGGCTTTCTTATTGGTTAGGGCCTCTTCAACTGTTGTGTATATTTTTTTTTTGTGTAAATCTAATGTGTCATGGTGGATTTACACAAAAATTTTGGATTATTTAATTTTAGTTTTACGGTTGTTTTATACCTTTTGTATAAAAATATATATCCCAATAACAACCAACCATGTGTCATGCAAGGACCCCATAACTTTTACAAACCTATTTAATATAGGGTTGATTCTTTAATGGGAAGAGAAAAAGGGAGGAGAAAGGAAATACGTTGATGTGATTGTGTAAAAATGTTGTGTAAAATATACAACAATTTTACATATTGGTGACGTGTCAGTGTATCTTAACAAACTGGTGGAGATAAAAAAAAAATTTACACATCATACGTGGCCGTCTATATTTTACACAAAAGGATAGTTTAACAGACTGCTGGAGATGCTCTAAGGCTCCAGCTGACCCCGCATGAAAATTAATATAGGATTAGAATGAACTTGGCTGAGGCGTGTGCACTCGTAGTGTAGAAGAAGTCGAACAACTTCAATATAGTCCTTGGTGAATAAAATTGCATAACACGAACAATCGTCAAGTCCAACAACATCAATATGGTTCTCTAGTGAATAAAATTGTAGAACACAAACAATTGTCAAGTCGAACAACTTCAATAAACAATCATAGCCAAAAATGAGTATTTTGCAAAACAATGGTAGCCATATAGTATTGAGAAGAAACACGAACACGATTAGCCAAAATAGGGTATGTTTGACGGAATATTTTAACAACAATAATAGGAATTGATTGCATCAATAGTCGTTTGAATATAATTGAATGAGTAATAGGACATTCAATTGAACCAACAAATAGAAGAAACTAAAACAATAAGGAAAAAAAAAAAAATCTCTGGATATATATGACAGAAGGCGATGATATTTTCCTGTGTTGAAAATGGTGAGACATTGAGATGTATTTATAGCCGAATATTATGAACGGTTATCTACAAGATATTAGTGCAATTGCAATAGATATTAGGTAACCTTATATTCACGTTATTTGAGGGGTTGAGTCATGTGAACAGTGAGGGCACAAAAATCTTAACTATTTATTAACGAAATACATGTGTATTTATAGCCAAATATTACAACGATTATCTACATGTTGCAGGATACATCTACGTGCACGATATCAGTAGTCATGGGATATTGGGTAACATGGGATATTAAGATAACGTTATAGACACGTTATTTGAGAGGCTCAGTCGTGTAGAGGTTGAGGGTATAAAAATCTTAACTGTTCACTAATGAAATACTCTGGTGATTGATTAACCGGCGGTTGGTTAGCTTGCAGTTGAAACGCCTATGGTTGAAATACATACGGTTGGTACTGATTCTGCAACTGTTGTTGCTGGAGGCGCTGAAACCTTTACTGTTGTTGCTGCTGAACATGCGCTTGAACCTGTGGTGGTGCACTTGTTGATGAATTATTTGGCTTTGCAACCAAATATTGATCAAAGCTATTTGGCAAAATGGTCAGAGAATCATTCAAGTTGGCCATAGTGTTGTGAATTGGTTCAAGTGCACCATGCAAATTCCAATTTGTAGTTGCAATCCTTTGTGCTAAATTGTCTACACTTTCAGCCAATACTTTGCCATTTGGTTGTTGATTGACTTTAAACTCAGCCTCTTGGTCTTCATGGGAATGAGGCTGCTGATCATGAAGATTCTGGGATTGTGAACGAGTAATTGCCATGTTTGTCGATCTTCAAACTCTAACAATTCTGACTTCAACACTTCAAATTAAGAACTATTTCGGTCCCACAAGTGCATGCCAATTGTTTGGATGTGAAATTTTGTGGCGTGCCAGAGTCTTTCGACTCAGATTTGTAGATAGCCAAACTATCCTGAATGACCGAATAAAGAAATCGGTCCTTGAGTTGAATCAGGTTATTTTTAGAAGGGAAGGATGACCCATTCCTTCAGGTTCTTCGATGCCTCAATGAAGATGACTTTAACAAAATAAAAGGATGGAACAAATGAAGGAGACAATATAAATTAGGAAAATGATAGGATCACCAAATGATTTTTCCGAATAAACCCCGAATCTGACGTGTTTTTTGTCCACCTCACCTATTTAAACAGTTTCTAAAAAAATATTATTTAACACGTGATAAGTGTAGCCAATCACATTAAATTCGGGGATTCCTTTTCGGTTCCCCTATCATTACTCTATAAATTATCCAAGCATTCATTCACTCCAAAATAAATTATAAAACAACAATGGTGGAGACACTAAAGTCCTAGCATCCAAATATATTTCATAGGTAAAAGGGTTGGAATTAT